ACACACACACAACTGTCCCCCTGAACTGACCCTGCGACACAGGCTGCTGGGCAAAGGTGTACATCTTCATGGCAATGGCAAAGTCGTCCAGGTTGTTGAGGAACTGACAGAACTTCTTGAACTCCGTGAACGTGATGCCCTGCAGGAGGGAGAGCAGTTTTGGGTTAGTCATAGTCCAAGTTTTACGGCACTTGCAACACAAACTGGCTGCTCATTGCAAACCTTTGTCACGCATAACTTTTCAAAAAGGTGTATGGTACGGCGTAGTTGTACACAAAGCAGTTGTACACAAAGCAGTTGTACACAAAGCAGTTGAAATTGGCCATACAAGTGACGGAGATCAGAAGGCGTTATTATTACTAGAGAGTAACATACAAAGAAAAAAGGAGGAGAGATAAGGAAGGACAGATTTTGAAAAAGAAAGAAGGAGCAAACAACAACATAGCAGCCGCTAACCACCCTCTTGAAGCAAGGTGAGGAAGAAGGCAAACACAGAGCCACCCACCAACACTATGTTACAAAATTGTCATACTTCAAAGCTTCAAAGTTCCACAGTTTAAAAAAAAAATAAGGTACAGGATCATCTTGTGGAATGAAATTCGAGAGGAACATTATCATAAAAGAATAAACATTTCCATCATACTATCAGAGGTGCCGACTACAGACTAGTGCCGAAGAAAAAAATCCTGAACTTCCAGGACCCCAAGGAAACATGCGTGCAGAAGGACTCGAGATCTACGGACGTACTGTCTGATGCATCTTGTATCAAGACTACTTTCCTGTAAGGTGCAATAGGACATGCAAAAAGAGATTAAAATGAACCTAACAAAATTTGAACAATTTCAGAAATCTGGTTTTCAGGATTCATCTGGAAATTCATAAATCATTATCCCATACTTTCAGTAAACACTATTCTACACTTCTGGTAAAAGATTACTATTTGTCACATTTTACTCACAGAAATGGAAATTTTCTAAGGAAGACAAAGAAGATTATAAAAAATTAGGCATTCCACCTATTTAAAGTTTCCAGCTGTTTTCAGATTAACCATGTTCAGATGTAACCAAAGAATGTACCGTCGACTTCATCACCACCATCACCACAGTACATCCACCATCAACATCACCATCATCCCTTCCGCACCACCCACAGTACATCAACATCACCATCATCCCTTCTGTACCATCCACTGTATATCAACATCACCATCATCCCTTCTGTACCATCCACTGTACATCAACACCACCATCATCCCTTCTGTACCATCCACTGTACATCAACACCACCATCATCCCTTCCGTACCATCCACTGTACATCAACACCACCATCATCCCCACTATATCATCAACACCGTACACCACCATCCATCGTCCACCGTAAATCATTCCTTCATTCTCAAGTAAAATGTATATACAGAAAATTAAAAAAACAACAAAAAACTATTAAAAAAACACCCTATCTCCTTCAAAGTGTGAACCACAACCAAACACCCGACACCCAGATCCGTCTGTGGCTGCTGACTTGTTTTTCCCAGACAAACAGGACATGTACAGCACACGATCAAAGTTTGGTGCGCATTAACAAATATCAGGAACAGATTTCAGGAGACTGGACAGTCCTAGGGATGAAGTCATCAAACTAAAACCCGACAAAAAGTATCAAACGTTGAAAGAGAGG